GTCAACAATGGTTCATCAAATTTTGTCCAGGTGATTTTTAGCCTTAAAAACTGTGATGGGAGGGGCCAACATGTTGGAATTGATACTGATGCTCTGAAGACATTGTTGAGTCTAACCCAAGGCAACACACTTATGAAATAGCCCTGAAATTGCATGTCTCTCATGAAACAATACATAAACATCTAAGGAATACGGGAAAACTCGATAAAAAAAGTGTTTGGGTGCCTCACGAACTCTCCGATGATCATCATTTCCAACCTGTGAATGTTGCTTCTGCCACGTAATGCATTTGAACCATTTTTGGACAGAATTGTCGCCGGTGATGAAAAATGGATTCTCTGTGCGAATATTAAAAGCCAAAAACAATGGCTCAGTCCTAGACAAAAACCACTTCCGATCCCAAAACCTGGGCTCCATCCGCAGAAAGTGATGCTTTGAATTTGGTGGGACATCAAAGGAGTTATTCATTTCGAACTCCTCAATCCACAGCGAACTGTCAATGCAGGGATCTATAGTCAGCAACTGGAACGTTTAAATCAAGCCCTTCATCAGAAATGCCCTTCACTCGTCAATCAGAAAGGTGTTCTTCTTCTCCACGACAATGCATGTTCACATGTGGCACATTTTACGCAATACAAGATTATGGGGTTGGATTGGGAATTTCACCCCCATCCACCATATTCTCCAGATATGGCACCATCAGATTATTATCTTTTTCGTTTGTTGCAACACCATTTTAATGGAAAAATGATGCAAATGTGGAAGGTGTTAAGGAGGACATCGAGATGTTTTTTGCTTCAAAGCCAAGTGATTTCTTTAATCAGGACAACCTGATTGTAAGAGGGAAAAGCATCATCGATAAGAATAGAGACTATTTCATTTTTGATATACAAGTTGGTCGGGTTTTTTAATCTAAAAAAGCAACATTAATTTCTTGAGGACCTAATATTTATTTCATCTTTGTTGGTTTCTAAAGGAACTTGCTAACAATCCAAAAAATTTCTGGAAAAAGAAAAAAAGTAAAATTATCTGAAATACTATAATTTATTAGTAACTGTTCAATGGTTTACCTTCAAACTTTTAACAGACTTTAGATTTACAGTTTAGGAAATTAATTATACATGTATAATAATTGTTTTTACAACTGTTTCATGTTAGCTAATCACTACTTTTCATAAATTCAAGCTTACCATAAAGTCTCAGTGGTACCTAAAAAATAACCAAGTTGACAAGAGGAGGACGAAATATTTGTAGAATGACCAACCAAAACCATGAGACACTAACTTGTCCTAAAATTCATTAACTCTTAGTATTTATTTTAGATGAAGAAAATGAGTGTGAGATTACAAATTAATTTATTTGTATATCATTCTAAAAGTTTTATAAGTGACAAGATATTTAAAATATCGGTAGTTACTTTCAGCAACAACTAGGAACTGGAACTATATGGTTCACTACATTTCAGTGAGGGCATTCACCCTTACCACAGCTCAAATATAAACAATATACAGACTTATAAGATAGCTTAGCAAATACAAATAACACCATAAATGAAATACATGTAACTTTTTGGTAATACTGACTAAAACTAGAATCGTGACTCAACAAGAAACAAAAAATAAAACAAGTAATGTAGTCAATAATAGAAAACTGAAACTAAGACTATTAAACCACAAACTCCAGCTTAACTGAAAGTAAGAAAAACAAATGATTATACACAGGAACAAATGTGAAGGCACATATATTGATACTATGGTTACTAAAATTTAGAATAAAAACTCTAGTGCCTCATGCACTATCAAAAATTACTACTACTACTACTACATAGACAATACCAACATTATAAAAAAATCACTATAACCCACATTAAGCTAATGAAACCAAACAACAATCACCTTAGGTTTTCAGTGGACCCTATTGAGGAAGAGTGGCTAGTACGAGCACCACTACGACTAGTGCTATTCAGAGAGTTACTGCTGGAAGAATTACTCATGGAAAGTTCACCTTGTAGCAATCGCTGTTTTCCACTATCTAGAGAGCTAAGAAGGCTATCAGCTTGTTCCTTGAAATGGTCAGCAAAACCCCAGAATGCCCTATAAACCACACCTAATAATTATCACAGTACACATTTTACTATTGTAATATTGTAGCATAAGTATGTGCAATATATAAACATTAAATAATAAGTAATTAGATAGTGATATGCTTAGACATACATAATTTGTCATCCAATACATACATTGAAATCTAAATGTTAGTTATACATATGGCTTTTGTATTTCTGATGTTTATTAATTTCATTTTTTGGTAATTATTTGAAGTTATTTTAAAGTTTCATGAAGATAGACAATTTTTTCTTCAAGGCTTTCACTTTTTATATAGTGTATTAAGTATTTTTTCAGCTTTTTCTCAAAATTCTTCTATCTACAGGGTCTACTTTAATTTTTATTACCTGACTTATATGTACAGGAATTATATCCATGTTAGCTTAACCATCTAGGTCAAAGTGTGCATGTCACAACTTTTTAAGAGTTACATTCAAAATTTAATTAAACCACTTCTTTATCATTGTATATGGATAAACTTGGCATCAAAACATAGATTATAAATCAAAATTTAATATTACATAAGTTTTAAGTTCTAAAATTTATAAGGAAATATCTTTAAAAATTCCCAATCTCTCCTAGTATGAGAATTATGACATTTGTTTTCTCGATCTTCCCTCCTCTCCAATTTATTTACCACCCTTCCGAGACATATGGAATTGTACATAAATTACTCACCATAATACAGATATTATTAAGGCAAAGCATAATTTTTATAGCTTTAACCTTATTTGTTTACAGTGCCATAATCTAGGAAACCAGATCTACTTGCCGCACCCACCTCTTACATCTTCTATTTCACAAATTGCCAATAGTTCTCTCTGACGTTTTATACCACATAATTTATAACCAATAGAAAGCCAAAGTATTAATCTATCAAATGACATATTATATTACAATATTTTTTTTGTACAGAGTATTGTCTATTTCACATTCCAATTTGAAACTTTCTCTTGCAGTATTCACATTGCCAAGCTTAGCTAAATCTTTAAAGGATCTTACTGCATACTTAGGAAGCCAGATAAATTATGACAGTTATAGGACATTGTTTGCTTTGGGCATGTTATTATTCTGTGTTCTTAGGTGTATTATTTAATTCAATAAAAATTTAGTGCGCTAGTATCATTAGTATAAAAGGAAAGGCCCAGGTAGTACCATATTCTTTGTTTTCATTTATATTCCTTATTTAGTATTATAAAAGTAACTAAAATGTAAAAATTAGAAACATATTAGGTTAGTTTAGGTGTGATAATGAATAATTATAATAATAATAGAAATTCTTCATGCTCGCAAGCAACTAGTGTGTTAAACAATTCAAAACTATAACTTGAGCTACACATTCTTCAAGTTATTTATAACTTGAGTGATGGAATTATTAGTTATACACAAGGTCAGAGGGCAATAATAAAATTTAAGTATAAACAATTGTAGTTTCTTGTTACAATCTCAAGTCATTCTAGAAAGAAAAAAGAGTAATTTAGATTAATTTCATTTTTTACGGTGGTTATGAGGTCAGTCAGATCAGCCGAATGTGTATAGAGTTAGAGCAGATAAAATGTAAAATTATACTCTAAAAGAAGTTTGATATTTACTTAGGAAGTTTTAAAGATTATGTAAATCATATTTTACAATTTTCAGGTGAAGAAAAGTATTTTTAATCTTAACACGGAAATCACTTTGCACTATAACTCTATATATTCACGTACAAACTTTTAGTAAAAAGTACTTAATTAAAAAATTTTATTTTTGCATACAAAAGACTTGTAATGTTAAATGAAAGCTTGCCAAATGTTGCAACAATACCCGATAAATATTAAAAGTTATAGTATGGAAACTCTGGTGGTCACAAGGTTGGTGTAATCCACAGCAAGAGGGTTAACCTTTGCTACCCCTTCAGTATTTGGAGTGTGTTTAAAGTATCCAGAAGGAATCAATGCTTGATACAAGTCAGACAGAATGGACATTGCATTATCAAGTGAACTGGGAAAGGGTGAAGTTAACATGAACTGAGTACCCATTTCCAGTGCTTGTTGGAAATACATTAGTTTCATTTTTTTATATTGGTGTTTTATCAGTATTAATTGTTATAACTAAAAAGCAGAAGCCTTAGTTATATATGAAATGAAGGGCTGCAATCAATATAATTTTACTACAAATAGAGACTTGCATGCAACAATAACACTGAGTGAAATTAAAACTAAAATAAACAATTCCTTGTTATTTCAATTTCTGGAGATGTTCCATATGACTACACAACTCCTAATTTAAAACTATTCTAAGCTGTATTATGAAAAGAAAACCTACTTTCTGGAGAATGCTCGTGCCTCTGGGTCAGCATCACTGATACCTTTCTTGATAGCATCCCGAAGAACATTGACATATTTTTCCAAAGCATTAGTGGGCCATATGTGTAATAGTTGGTCCAGAAATTCGCAGCATGTTCTATTAATTAAAACATTTGTAAAATAAAAGATGTTTTGTTAGTAAGCCTGTTCAGTTTAAAGTAATTTTGACAGAAAAAAACAAATATTTTTTATTTCTACTCTACAGTCATAAACACTTGATACCCAGCCTGCATAAGTCAAGTTCACTGGTCCAGCAGCTACAGCCTGCAGCATGAAGAATAAAAAATAAAGAACATAGAAAAACAAAGACAATTGTATGTTTCTCAAATATTTATTACTACCATGATTTTGCCAGTAAAGGCATAATCAAGTAATCATACAAAGCAAATTTAATATGGTATAAAGTGATTTGAAACTGTTTATTTGGTGTAAATAGTTTACAGAGAGAGTATTTTTTGTATTTATGGCAAAGCTACTAGGGCTATCTGCCATCATCCCTAATTTTGAACTACTGAGGGATGCTAAGGGATTGTCTGTCATGCTTATAATGCTCATATAACTTAAAGTACATGGAATATTTTGTGATATTGCAAGGAACTGTATGCAGGTCACAGAGGTGATCAATGCAATAAACATCATGTGAGGAGCAAGTTGCAAGTCCAAAGTTGTAACAACTTTCATTAGGAACAATCCTAAACTAACTGTAACTTTTAATTCAGACTGTAATGGTCATTAGTACTCCTAAAGCTTCAATAGTTGAGCACTGTTTCTCTTTTCTAGAAGATTTAGCCAATGGTCAGTAGCAAAGACCACTTGACATAATAAAATTAGTACTATATCAAAAGCAAAAATCTTAATGAAAAACCTAACACAACTCTCTGCTTCTTATTGTTATATATATTGCATATGGTACAATTCTCATTAGATACAAATAACATATAAAAGTGAAAATGGTTGGTAAATATAGTTAAAAATATTTGGAACAGTAGAGAAGAAATATGAAAAATGGAAGTTTAACTAGAAAATGTTGATATGCTACATTACTGATCTTTTCACTCTTAACAAGTGAATTCCAGGTTATGGGATATAGGATATTCATGTTGTTCAGAAGGGAAATATTTCATGTATGTATAATCATACAACAAAAACCAGTCCTTCTGGTTGATCAGCACAACTTTTTATTAGTCTCAAAATTGTAAGACATATTATAATGAGGCATGATAATGTTTAAAAATTTATTATATTGAGTTAGATAAATAAACTCAAAATATCGTTCACTCAGAAACTAGAGGTTTGGTGAAATTTTACATCGCTGTAATCATATTCACATTCAGACAACAGAAATCTCAGGCAAATAGTGCACCAGATCAAAAGACTAAAGTGGTAATTAAATGAATTTTTACAAGTATACAATAATGGAAAAATAAGAGTTTGTGGAGAAATCACAACTGCATGTAACTTTCTATACATATTTTGACTTGGCAGTCAGAACTTATTAATGTATAGTGTATATCATGAAATATTTTAATTGACAGGTCATGTTTTCACAACACATACAAGCAAAAAAGAACTCCCAATGTACATGCTTAACGAATTTTTACAAAAGGAATAGAAATTAGGAAAAAATATTTGTTAGACCTTAAACACAATGTATACTGTTCTTCGTTACTGGTGAAACTCCAAAACTGAATGTTTCTCAGTATCCTACTGAATCAAGAAACCTCCATTTCAGAACATGAATGAAACTACTAATAATTCAATTCAACATAATTTCAATAAATCTCCTGATCTGATAATATTTCAAAATTGTTTCAATTAATTTTGTTTACACAGTTCATGTTTTGCAGAGGAAGAATTATTTACATTTGTAACATTGCAATCAGGAGAAATCTAATGATTTGGTGGGAAAGTGAATGATACAGGTCACATCATTTATAGGAGTGTACAGTAAATAGTTGAATTTCACCACCTGCATGTTGTAAAATAATACTCATAATTATTATTTTTTTGAATTTCACACACAGCTACTCAAGGGCTATCTGATCTAGCTCTACACAGTTTGAAGTGATAGACAAGAGGAAAGGCAGCTACTGAACATTATTCACTGCTAACTCTTGGGTTACTCTTTACCAACAGATAGTAGGATCAACCGTCTGAAAGGGTGGACACGTTGATCCAGTGACTATTAGATTGCAAGTGAAGTGGCCTAGCCCTCATAATTGTTAAAATTAACTTGTTAATGGAAAAGAGCTAAAATAAAATAGCTTAAAAAAACATCTAACTGTCAGAGAGAAGTGTTAAAAGTTTTTGCAGTTTTCAGCCTATGATTAAAACTTATTCACAGTTTAATTTATTGACTTTTTCTATTGCAAAAAATAAAATATAGTATCTACTCTTGTAATTTTATCCATACTGATTTTAAACAAACAAATATAAACATCATATTGTAACTTTATTTCTTCTAAATCAAGATCCAGTGTCAGTAGTTTCTATTAATTACCATTTAGTCACAAAGTATTCAAGACATATTATTAAACATCAAGATCCAGTAACAGTAACTTACCTTCATGCGATAGTACATCTGAACAGGTATTTTATGACATTCTATACTATTTTGTAAAAATAATTTATTCAGATAATATATGTAATTATAGTTCTTAGATTACAAATTACATTCACAAACTTTAACTATGTAATACACTAATACAGCTGGGCAACTAGTGGAAGTTGTTAATTGATTAATCATCAGATTCATTAATTAACTGCATTCAAGTAATTGATTATTCTCACAGGAGACTAATCTTCCTATTTTCAAATAGTAATAATGAGAAAGCATAATGATAATATTGCGATTACTTGGTTGTTTTCATGAGTTGTGACACTAACTAAGCTGAACAAACCTGAATTAATAAAAGATGACAATGAAAACATTTTGATTACTTGGATAGTTGGAATAATCAAAAATAGTAATAATCATAAACAATTTGAGTAGTTCGATTATTTTCATGACAATAATTGATTTAATAATAATTTCAATTAATCAATTATTTAAATGATGCTCATAGGTAATTGATTAATCTCTGACCAATAATGGTAAAATGGTGAATCAAGATCTGAATCTTACCCACTAACATCTGAGATTTCCAAGTAAAATTTCTATGCCTCATAGAATCTTTTAATGGAAACATTATATCAGAGAAATCTGTTATAAATCCTGCATTTTACATTAGCATTAAACTCAACATCAAGGCCATGAATAATGGTTCCTAATAGCTCTTTCTTTAAAAACATGTTGAAGCAAGCATAATTCAATTTTATTAAGTGTGCTACTTTATGTTGAGTTTGCTTAAGTTGCATCACTCAAGATATTTAAAAATTCTTCTTTGATTATATATGTACAATATGAATTGAAAAATGAAACAGAAGGACAACATATTCTGGAACTACATTCGTAGCTATCAAGCCCATAGGTTTTAGTAGAGCATGTCCAGTATCATAATTTATTTTAAATAATGTTCCAATTTCAAACCACAAATGGTTTCCTTCATTAGCTGAAAGGCATCAACACATGCTGTTAGGATTATGTCAATAACAAACAATGTATCTTTACATTCAGCACCAATCATTAATTTAAAATTACTTGCTCTTTAAGTGTGTTAAATTAATTTTTAAGATTTTAAACTTATGAATAAATCAATTTGGCTTTCCATTAAAGAACAAGAGTCTAAGATGAGAATTCCACTCACTTTTTAAATTTCTTTACTTACACACTGTTTAGCTTATCCCTCAAGTGTTGGAAACCACAAGATCGGCTTTTAATCTTATCCATAATTCACACATAATATTTTTCACATCCTGTGTACACTAGGTGTTCGCATTCCACATTCAGTCATTATTGTTGATTCAATGAAAGTGTCACCACTGAGTGGTGCAGCATCTGAAACACATTGTATAAGCCTGCGCTCTTTGTGTCACATTACTGATGCTATATTAGCACAGCATCTCACTAGTCTTACACCTTATAGACCTTTATATCATACACATAAAAGAATCTATACTGTAAAGCATAAGAGCTTCGGACAATGCTGCCCCAAAGTCACTGTGGTACATATGACTTTAATAAAATAAAAAGTGATGCATTTCTTGTGTTGGCATAATAAATTATACAATACAGATATAAATAAAGGTTGTGAAAAAAGTGGGATGGGAAGAGATAGAGAACATGTCAATCCTTATTTTTTTAAACTTTCAATCTCTAAAACTGAAGGTAAAAACATGAATCACTTACTTTCTGATGTCTTTGGATTTGCAGCTCATGTTGGTTGTCAGAATAGGAATCAATTTAGGTGCATGTGTATACTGCAAAAGTACAAAAAACAACATTCAGACCTACAGAATAGGAATCAATTTAGGTGCATGTGTATACTGCAAAAGTACAAAAAACAACATTCAGACCTACAGAATAGGAATCAATCTATGTGCATGTGTATACTACAAAAGTACACATAAAAAATATTCAGACCTACAGAATAGGAATCAATCTAGGTGCATGTGTATACTGCAAAGTACACATAAAAAATATTCAGACCTACAGAATAGGAATCAATCTAGGTGCATGTGTATACTACAAAAGTACACATAAAAAATATTCAGACCTACAAAATAGGAATCAATCTATGTGCATGTGTATACTGCAAAAGTACAAATAAAAAACATTCAAATCTACAGAATAGGAATCAATCTATGTGCATGTGTATACTGCAAAAGTACAAATAAAAAACATTCAGACCTACAGAATAGGAATCAATCTAGGTGCACGTGTATACTGCAAAAGTACAAATAAAAAATATTCAAATCTACAGAATAGGAATCAATCTAGGTGCATGTGTATACTGCAAAAGTACAAATAAAAAACATTCAGACCTATGACAGAATGGACACCAGTTGCATAATGTATCTCACTTAACATTATCAATAAGCACTACCTAATATGTATGTATTTCTTATTTATCATAGCACTGAACACAAAAAAACAAAATGAATCTGTTAATAATAATAGTTTCTTACTGTCTCATCAATTTGTGGATATCTCATATTTTACAAAGTTTCTGTATATGATTTCTTATGATCATGTTAAAATCATTAAAACAAATTAAAATCCATTCTACAAATCTTTTTTACTCTGGTATATTTACCTGTATGATAAAACGAATAGCAACAACTCCAGCTGTAGACATGATCTTGGCACTGTTAGGTATTAAGCTGACCAAATTAGGAAACACTGATTCAGCAAAATGATCAAACTTGATTCCAAGCTGTTGGGAAAAATACCTAAAAGAGAGAGAGAAAAAAAAACTAGTATTTTACCCTTAGCAGCTTACACGAAAAATTATTTATGCCTATTTCAAAATTCTAAACAAAATGAACATTTTTAACCCTCTTTTATTAGCATCAGGAATTGAAGCAACTGATATCTCTAGCTTTGATGAAAGATTCTGAAAAAAAAAAAAAGACTAAGCAACATAAAGAATCTAGTTAATTTAAGATCAATTGTAAAATTCAACAAATATTCATAGCTATCAAACAAAACCATAAAGACTTACTATCAGTATTTCAACAACCCATAAAACCTACTACAACCTTCAATGCTTTTAAAGACACAGATTTAAGGCATTAAAAATAGTCAGCTGCTAATAGCAATGAATATTTAAAACTAGTTATGAAGTGACACAATAGCCTGCAACTTCAACTACTTTTTGTCAATTTTAAATGACAAAAATAAATTTATCCTTTCACTCAGTGTGCTAAAGTTTGTGATGCTGGCTTATCCAAGCAGATAAGACTCAAGTTTAAGTGCAATTTCTAAGTATTAAAGCTTGAAAATAAAAAGTAATGTTACCAGTAAGTCATGAAAAGTTTTTGTTAGAGTTTGTCACAAAACATGGAAATAAAATGCTAACATCTTTAAACATATGAACAAGTATTGTATAATAACCACAACCTAGTTAGTATGATAAAATCTGGTATTAAACATAATGTTATCTTGATAAGAGTATCTCATAATGGTTTAAATGGTATTTAAGTATGCTTCTAGCAGGATCTGGATCTCAAGAAAGGCTAAGAAATATATACTTATAAACAACACCACTTTACTCATAAAGCATATAAAGCTGCTTTAGAATCACAGACAAAAATTTATATTCACTTTCAGTTGCACAGAAAATCAGAGTTTGAAACTTAGGTCAACACATTGCAAAGTATGAATAAAATTTGGAATAATCAGAGTTTTTCTTTAGAGTTTTAGCCTTAAAGAGGTAAATTTAAATGTGAAAATTCTGAATGAGATGCTTCAATGAAAGTAGTTGCAAATGAGATATGATATGAAATGTTTATTAACATTTCTATCTACCTATCCCAGACAAAGTTCAACTATTTAACTCTCCATAAACAAGCTCAGTCAGTTTGACCATCCTTGTAATCACCATGTAACTATACATACTATAACTTTTAATGTAGAAAGTGTATCATAATGAAATTTGGCAACTTTCTTTGGTACATAAAAAAAACTTTTTTTTTTATAGTTAAGTATTTTTATAAAAGATTTGTCTGGGAATTTACAAAACCAGTCCGAGTGAAAGTTAATTTTCATGCTAAGAATAAAAATTTTTGTCATCTTACAGTTTACAAATTTCATTTGCACTACAACTAGACCCTCCTAAATGAATAACAATACACCAATTCGAATAACAAGTTTGTTTTATTTTTTCAGTAAAACTATATTTTGTACCCTACCACTAAGCGTAGCAAAATTCAGTAGTTTAGGTTGAAATTAAAATTTAAAAAATATATCTAAATTACCCTTTTTTTTCTTTCTTGAAAGATTGCAACAGGCTATTTTATTCTTACAGCCAAAGTTGTTTTTTTAGACTCTCTCAAAGTACAGCAAAAGCTGTTATCACAGCAGGACAGGTTTGTGTAAACAAACAATCAAATTACAAGAGTGACCACTGATTTACACAATCATGTATGTTATGTGTAATTTCTATCAAAGGTATTTTGTTTCATTTAAGTTTCTCATATAACCTAATAAGTTTCTCATTTTTACACTTCAGTAATTTCTATAACAATAAATGAAAAGCATAGATAAAAAAACAAGAAATTTAATACAAATTTATCTCTTGATTTTTTTACTGTCAAACCCCAGATGAAACGTACCCCTATATTTTGTAACAATGGTAGTACATAAAATAATTTTAATTTATTTCAAATGTTACAATATATTTTATCTATGTGTTAATATTATGTCATTTTTTTGAAAGACAAGATGTGATAGGTCATGGCATATGGGTTTCACTTTGTTGAATATATCTCAGTAAATCAAGAAGCTTGGAGGCTATGACTTAGAAATATTTGTATTATAAGTGTGTAATTTGTGCCAAACTCAGAAGATCATAAAGGGGTAGAAAGAAAGCCTAAAATGAGCACAGAGAAGTGAAGATATAGAATTTATTTAAACAGTTATTTTTGAAACCAAGAAATTAAGTTACATAATATTAAAATTTGGATTATAAACTATGTTTGAAGCCAAATTTATTACATATATTAAAAACAAAGTTGTTTAGTTAAATTCTGAGTGTAACTCTAAAAGACTGTGACATGCACACTTTGACCCTATTTGATATAACTGTGTGTAGTAACTATGACACATAATACTAAATATTTTGATTAATTTAAAATGCTTTTTTTGCAATGTGAAATGAACAATGTAGAGCAGTACATGCTTAAGTTTATTTGTGCTAATTAACTTAACACTATTCTTATATCAATAAAAACTGTTTAGTTTACTTTGTCATTTCCTAAATACTTCAAATTGTTGTGAATGTTGTAATCATTATTGTATAGGGTGGTGCTCTAATTCTGCAATATATTCCAATAACTTAGTGTTGATGGTGGTTCTTACCTTTATATTTAGCCTTTACTCATGTTCTTGAAACAACTTATTTGCCTCTTTATTTAGAAATGAAAATTTACTATTTACAAAACTGAGAATATACATTGTCAGTTTACTAATTTGTTTACTTATTAAAATCATAGAAAAGAAAAAGGGATATAAGGATTAGCCTTTCAGACGTTGTGACATACTACACATACTGCCACCCACATTTGAAGTTCTACTACAAGTATTAGCATAAGCATAAACCCAAGTGAATTGTAAGTCTATAAATTAATTTATCATTTAATTGTAGCTATTAATCATTGTAACTGTTATGTTAGTAAGTTCCACTACAAGTATTAGCATTAGCATAAACCCAAGTGAATTGTAAGTCTATGAATTAATTTATCACTTAACTATAGCTATTAATCATTATAACTGTTATGTTACCCCAAGTTAATATTCACAAAACACATATTAGACACATAATTACTTACGCTATTGTAATGCAAGCTTCACGGACTACCTGAGAACGGAGATCCTTAACAGAAACCTGGAGAGCAATTTCTAATAGTCGAAGACTTGTGTAAAGTTCATCAAATTGCATAGCGCCTGATACAATCAAACTACGCAACCTTCTTATCTATATAAAAAAAATATCTTAAAAATATAGTATATATACATAAGATATTTCCTGTCATGTGAAACTTAAAACAAAATTAGAGTTGTTAAGTTGTCACTGAAAAATAAGTTAACTTTCTGTATTTGGCTGTAGATGTAATATTACTGTTTTTTGATCTTTAAAAATTGCATCAGTTCAGCTTTCATCTAATGGCTTTTAAAGGTCATCACAATAAAAAAAGAAGACAAATTAAATTACAAAAATTCCTTAATATTGGTTCAGCTGTTTTATAATCCATACTCTGATGATATTTCAGTTGACAATTTTCCTGTCAAAGTTCTAAACTTATTTTTACAGAACAAAATCTCATAATATGAACCATCAAGTTGTGGTACTTACAGATTCTATTCTTTTTTCCCAGTCATTGTTTGGATTTGACAAAACGTCTTTAATTTTTCCTATTTCAACTTCTAGGTCTCTTCCTGAATATAACTAAAAAAAAGAAGAAAACATGCCAACTTCATGAAGTGGTTAAACATTTGCAGTGAAGATATTTAATTACTGTGAAATTCATTAACCCTATTGCTATGGGTTTTCCTATGATCAGGGGTAAAAGAGCGTGTCTGTAGACTCACATTCAAAATTTTACTGAACAACTATTTTATGAATGCACTGTCAATAAATTTGGTCTCAAATTTTAGTATTATACATTAGTTAATTTCTTAATTTAAAAGTAAGTATTAAAACAAAATTTTTATGTGTTGCATATGTTGAATGCAGCTTTGGTTCAAATTAGACGTTTATGATGTCTCAATACAAATTATATTGTATCTTACAAATTTGAACTCAAATTACCAACACTGACAAGCTAGAATATAAAATAAGAACATCCCATCTTTTCTATTTGCTGAGATATCACTATATTAAGTGAATCAAACAGTGGCCCTGTTCACCTCTTCCATTTTTAGAAATACAGGGGTCTCCTGAAAAGTGGGACATATGTCTGAAATGGCTTTAAGCAACACAATCTTTACATGTGTTACAGGGAGGGGGGGATTCATTCCTGAAAAATTTTTGGTCCACTCTTGAATAACTTTATTAAAGGGTGTAACATGGCTTTTCTGCAGAAGAAAAAACAACATGCTCAGACAATGGTGTGCAAAACCAATGTGTTTAGATCCTCTATTGTCTTGGACAGTAAACAATGCATCACACTCTGCCCAGTAAATTAGTAGAACAACATTGGCATACTCTAGTAATGGAACACGGCAATGTTGCTTCACACATATGTTGGTAGTACAGTATTGTACAATAACTGATGAACACTATGCCTGGTAAAGTAGTCCAACAATATTTTACCATTATGGTAATGAAATAAGGCAACATTATTTCAAAAATATTGGTAGTAAATGGATAAACACCACACCTGGAAAAGTAGTTGACAATGTTGAAATGCTCTAGTAATGAAACAAGGCAATGTTGTTTGGTACGTGGGTTGTAAATGGTGGACACTAATAATGAACGAAGCAGAGGGAGGCAAAGTATAACTGGAACCCACTTAGGTTACACCCACTTCACTCTATCATGTGTTTATAACCAATCAAAAGCTCAGAATTTCCCAAGATTATTTCTTTTGTCTCCAATCTCAGAAGGAAGGGTTAAGAGAAAATGTTGTTTGAAAATAATGTTTTAGCCAAAATACACTTTATTTAGTAAGCCTGATAAATTACAGTGGAATTCTACAATATTAGTACAGTAATTTAGAATTTCTTGTTATTTCAAAATGTATACACAAAACCTAAAAAAAAAGTTATTTTGTTTTACATCCTCCATGTGCAAAATTCAGCAAGGCTTTTAGCATGTAAGGTATGGCAAGTACAAACTTCTTTTCAATCTTGAGTAGTAGAGATCATTGTTCTCTATATTTCTTTACTTACTGTTCTATGTTTTAAGAAAAAGAATAGAAATTTAAGAACTTATTTGTAAATAATAATAACATATATGCATACGAAATGTATTACAACTAAAATGTGAATGTATTTACAAAATATTGGTCCACTAGAACAAAAACCAAGACAGATCAATTTCTAAAGGCCAGTTTTATATTCTTGAATATGGTAACATGAGTGCACATGCAGCACATCATTGCAAGTTCTGTAATGTTAGCCAGGCATGGCTGGAAGCTCAGTATAATAAAAATAATAAATATATATAGATGTATAATGTTACGAGTTTTAAGTTATTTAGACTAAACATTTGTGTTTTCATGTTATAATTTGTAGTCATTCTAGAATGAAAAAAGCAAATTTATATTTATTTCCTAATATTTTATGGTGGTTACGAGGTTGATCAAATTGACCAAACCAATGCAGAGATACAATAGTGAAAATAATAACAGATAAAATATAGTTTTTCCTAAAAAAAAAAGTTTGATAATTAACTGGAGGTTATTAGGAAGTTATATGGATTTTGCATGTGAAATCTGACAATTTTCTGATATATAAAAGTATTTTTAATCTTAAAATCAAAATTACTTTGGATGTTGGATAGTCAACATTGAAAAAATAAAACAATTCATGAGCAAATCATTACATAAAAATTTTTAAAACTTAAATAAAAAATCTGATATTTTGTGTACAAAAGCCTTGTAATGTTTACTGATAATCTGCAAAATTTTGTGAAGATACGCATAATGTATTAACAGTTACAATATGAAAATTATGACAAGCACAAAATGGTTATGAGGTTGTTCCTTGGCACTGATCCCATAGTGAGAGAATTAATATAAATTAAGTTTTACACAGTTAAACATATTACATGCATAAGCATTTCTTCCTCTATCTCTCTGTGCAAATCACTTTAACTTAAAATAAAATAATCTAATGTAAGAAAACTGTGGAATAAACACACTACATGTAAGAATAAAAACTGTCATCACAGATTACAAACCTTTAAGCACACACACTGGCCTTTCATACTTCAGCCTCAATTTAAAAAAATGCATTAAAGTCAGAATATGGTTTCTATTCGGATGATACTAAAATAGAATAACATTTACTGCATTAAATATATGAATGACTATTATGAAAATAAGTTCCTTTGACAAAGTTCCTGAAATTTCAAAACTTTTTCATTTAAAACTGGTTCACTTTAATTAAAATTAAAAGATGTAAATAAATAATAAAACACTTTTTGTTGCTAATTACCTGGAGCTTGGGAACATCTTCAAAGGCTTTAATAAACATATCTTCATCAGCTGCACCAGCAGCCACTGCTACAAGAATCCACAATATTTATTCATTTTTTATTAATCAATAAATAGTTTTGTAGTACTTGCATACTTTGAAAAATTAATGTATCTTTTGATTTCCAAGAAGGTTTATTAAACTGACTCCTAGCAACTATTCAGAAAAAAGTTTTATATACAAAATATTTCTGAACTACATAAGAATAAATAATTCTCCAATAGAAATTGTTTAAGGATACTGGTCACCATAAACATGATGTTTTTTTTGTTAATTTCATTACCTAGATGACTAATGAAATACTTCTGTTGATTCTACACTGTATGAACAACATCAATATATAAATAAATACAGACAGTTTTGTTTTTAGTTGTATGCATATTTATAATTCCAAAACAAGGTTTCCATGCTTTAATGTCACAATCCTAATAGCTGTTCAATCTGGTACAGTATCTAACAGAAAAGCATCGATTTTATACATAAAAACTAAATTTAATAATTTTTTTTATGAATAATAAATAAATAAATTTTTTTCAGCTTTAGAATATTTTTTTATGAATAATTTTGTTTTCAGGTGTAAAATATTTTTTCAGCTTTAAAATATCTTATTGAATTACATACAGATGCAACAGTGATTCCAGACATGAACCAATCAGTAGAAACATGTTCGTGTAAGATTGCTTTCCACTTATACCACCTTGTTGCACCCTTCAAAATGTTTCAAACTAGTTTGTGTAATTTTATACTTCAAAACGTTTTAAGTTAATCTCCATAATTTTTAACTATGAACTGTGCAAAAAATAAGTGACATTTGTTACTTGTAAAGAAATAGATTGTAAGAATATACATTTGCAGAAAAGTATGAAAACAGCAGGGGAGTACTTAACTGAACTGATTCAAATCATCCTTTTTGATTAATATACATTGGACAGAAGAGAGGTTTCTTCAGGGTAAGATCATTATTTAAATTTTTTGACAATGGTTCAAACAGATATGGTTGAATGTTGTCTGTGCATTAATCTTCTTCACTGGTGTATTACAAATCAAAGATCTGATACCAATAATCAAAATATTTAACTCTCTTGCCACAACTGGGTAAAAGTGATATCATGATCTTTTACATTGTTATATCTAAAATATAATTAAACAATTTTATCATTAATGTACATCAATAAACATGGCATGAAAATTTAGTTTATAATGTAGGATAACAGTCCACCACCCTTTCTACAACAAGTGTCAAATTCATAATCCTGCTTGAATGCGTAAAGCAATTTTTAGCCTATTTACTGTTTACATTGAAAATCAGAGAAACATGCATGAAAAGGTTAATAGTTGAAACTGTGATGTAATTCAAAAAACCAAAATAAATTATGTATCCAAAAAAAGACATCATTCATTTTATTTCCTATTTTTCAACTTTACATTTTTACCAAGTTTTATTAAAAAAAAGTTTTGAATTCATATACTAGGTTCTACACTTTACGCAAATGAAATATGAAACTGTATGGTGAAAAACTTATTTTTATTTTTAGAATTAAAATCACTTTTCACTCAGTTGACTCAGTAAAGGCTTAGAAAATTAACAGACAAATCTTTAGTAGAAATACTTTATTAAGAACTGTCTTATTATATTTTGGTAATTTCCTCAGATTTCTGTAAAATGAAACAAAAATTCCTAAAAACAGTATTATTTTAAGCATACTGTAATAAGAATGATCTTTGTACTGGCATCAAATTAACAGAAAAATATGAATTTTTTGTGTTCGGTGTCCTTTACACACAGGCTACAGTTTGAAGAAAATTATGCAAAAATTAATGGCTTCACTATACAGTTAGCAATGAAAGACAAGTTTTTCTTTTCTTTACAAATTTATTCAAAATATTTCATAGTAAAATAATTTAAGTATGTTTTCTGCTATAAATACACATAGCATAAAACACAGTGATAAAATCAAATCTTAATTTTAAGCCATAAATGTTTATTTACTGCCAGTTTTTTCTTTTTTATTTTTACTGAAGTCAACAGAATAAACAACTCATAATTTCCTTTGTTCTTTTAAAAATTACCAATATGAAATATTGTTTGAATTTGAATTATGTAACATTAGCATTTTTTCATAACTTATGTTGATGAATCTCCACTGCAATACCAGAAAAATGAATTTATAACATCAACTTTTTTTTACATTTTATAAAATCAAAACAAAGTTATTTCACCAAGCATTTGATTGTTCATTTATTAGCATGAATGTTTTCTTGTATATACTCATCTGTATACTATTGCCATAATTAATGTTAAGAAAGTGTTAAAATAAGATCATAAATGCAAATTAAGCCTATTAATTATTATTATTTTTTTTATATACACCATTATAACCCATCTTGTTTTAGGCTGTAAATTACTAATAACAGTTTTAGGATCACCATGAGTAGTTCTTTTTGTTTCTCTACATTTTCTTTTAATGGAGACAATTCTATATTAGTATAAAAATATTATAAACTACTTCTTTTAATGATCACAATAATATATTAGTGTAACAAGTTTACAAAGTACTTCATAAAAAAATATTTTCCTTTCCAAATACTCATAAAACAAGAGTGCAAAACAAGTGTCAATAAAATAGGACATAAAACAAAATAGCTATTAGAAAGATGTTTCAGGTTTAAAGAGATAATGGTCTGTATATTTATTTTAATCTATATTATTGGGGAAAACCCTTAGAGTTAAAAAAAAAGAAAAAAGAAGTACATACAGCACATGCTTACAATGCCAGTTACCATGCATTATTAGCCAAGTCCCAGAAAGTTGCAGGCACTGTTATTTGTTTTCAGAAAAGTAAATAACAAAAGGTTTACAGATGTTTTTGAAATCAATGAAAGAACAAAGAATTTGAAGTACCTGAAGCAGAAGAACTAGATTTTGTAGAGCTGGTCTTGACAGATTGTTTCCTTTGAAGAGCTTTTGAATGCAAGCAGAAAAAAGTAAACGAAGGAATAAAAGCAAATACACCATATATTTCTTTTTTCAAATACACAATTAAATCTACCTGCATATTAAACAATAAAAATACATTGATATCACAATTACAAAACACACAATATCATAATAATATAAACACTTTCTGAAGAAAAAGCTTTTTGATTATTATATTTTCTAAATAGTGACATTTATATTATTGATCCTATAAGTATTTTATAACAATTAATACTTTCATACAACATGTGTATGGAATCAAGTAAAATTATTAGATATAATTAAGGTCAGTATAATTATTGATTAAGAAAAATGTTAAACATAGATATACATTAGGTTGGTTCTAACTACTATCATCAATAACCTATTTCCCAAATTATCTTTTTTCACTCTTTGCTACATCTCGTTAGTAAATTAAATAATTATTTTTCATACAATAGACCAAAACAAATAATTCAGGGCAGTGGTGTTATTCTTACTAAATTTTTTTTTGTCTATTTTGTGTTCTAATATATTCCACACACACACACACACATAATGTAATAATATGCGTACTGGAGTTTCTAGAAGGATCATGAAGGCCAGAGTGCATTTGAGACGCCCTCTTTTTTAATATATAAGCCTGGCGAGTAAAACCAGCGTGATCGGCAGATAGATTGAAGATATAGATAACTGAGTCAAGCAAACAGTAGACACCACAAGTAAAGTGTGTGAACCACTGTGATTTATAGTGTGTGTCATAAAGGTTGTTAAAGTGACTGTGGAAATTCTGTGTATTACAAAGTTGTATCGAGAAAGAATAAACTAGTTTGAATTAAGAAAGGACTTGTATCACTGAAGTTCCTTGGAAAGAATTTATACCAGAAATTAAGGAAATTATCAAATGAGCAGATACGTAACAAATTGGTGTCAGAAGTGGGATGGAAAAGAAAAAAAAGATGGAAACGAGAAGTGGCAAATCAAACTACAGCTCAGCAGATGTGATGGCAGCAATACAAGAATAGCAAAAGAAACAAGAAGAACGAGAAAATAAACAAGAGGAATGAGAAAAGAAACAAGAAGAGAGATTACAGGAGTTGTTGAAGGAAAAAGAAACAAGAAGAAAGACAACAGCAGTGGCAGGAAAAACCGGCAACAGTGGCAGCTCGAACAGCAAAATAAACAAGAGAAATTACAGCAATTGTTGGAAGAAGAAGAAAAGAAACAAGAAAAACGAGAAAAGAAACAAGAAGAGAGACAACAGCAGTGGCAAGAAAATCTGCAACAGTGGCAGCTTGAACAGCAAAAGAAACAAGAAGAGAGATTACAGCAGTTGTTGGAGGAAAAAAAAAAGAAACAAGAAGAGTGACTACAGCAGTGGTTGGAGGAGAAAGAAAATAAACAAGAAGAGAGACTACAGCAGTGGCTGGAGGAGAAAGAAAATAAACAAGAAGAAAGTCTCCAACAGTTGAGAGAAAGCCAGCATACACAAATGGAAAAGATTAGTAAATTTCAAAGTGAATTAAATACATTAAAGAATGATTTACTGTCTTTTACACAGCGAGGATATATTAACCATGGGCCTAATCAGCCCCAGACAACAGGAAGACCCTTCCAGACCCCACAGCTAAGTCCTAATGCAGACATATTCAGTCCTGCCAGAAGTCACATTCCAGACATGAGTGTCATCAATAGAGGTGATATAGTATGAAGAAAGCCACAGGAGTTTGATGGGAATGCACCGTGGGAAGCATATAGAGCACAATTTGAGCTCCTGGCAGAAATGAAAGGATGGACAGAGGAGCAGAAAGCAGTGTACTTGGCAATGAGCCTAAAGGGACAACCACTGGATATACTTGGACAGTTGTCAGCAGATGACAGCAACAACTACAGAGCACTGGTAGCTGCTCTAGAACTCAGGTATGGAACTCAAAATTAGTCCAAAGCCTACAGGGCTAGGTTTAGGACAAGAGTCCGTACTAAAGGGGAGAGCCTGCAAGAGCTGGCACAGGATTTGGAAAGTATGACACACAAGGCCTAACCAACTGCACCACCCGTTGTCCTCAAGCTGTTGCTGGGGGATCAGTTTATAGATGTCTTGGACAGTCCACAACTAAAGATACAAGTAAAGCAAGCACACCCCTCTACTATGCAGGATGCAATGGCCAGAGCTCTTGAATTCAAATCCTACATTAAGTGCAGCACAGAGATACCAAAGTTGGTACAGTCATCAGGATTCAAGGCCAGAGAAGTTTGAGGGACTTTGCTGGCACTGTAACAAATTTGGGCACAAGAGAGCTCAATGCCAGCAACTTCAACACAGGGAAGATGCCACGGCAGAAAAGGCTGCTACCCAAGAAGGTTGTTAGAACCGTGGAGAGCAAGGACATATGAGGAGCCAGTGTAAGAAGAATAATACCAATAAGTCAGCCTCGGGGAAACCAGTAGTGGTTGGTGTTGAGAGATGCCCACCAACCCCCATTGTGAAAGTCCCAACAGCTAAGTGTAAAATGGCAAGCACACATAGTGTCTACGTGACAGGAACGATGGAGGGCCAAAA